ATCTAAGGAGTGCATAACTTTAACCATAATTAAAGATATATAGGACCGCATGGCACTATGATAGACACGATAAAGAAATGAAAGAAAGTTATAGTGCTTAGAAGGAGGCAATTCCGGTAGAAAGACCCTTAGGAATAAATTCGGAAAAATTAATTTCCGACCTCGCTGGGATTCGAACCCACGACCTTCGGATTTGTACTACCGATGCTCTACCAGCTGAGCTACTGGGTCTACCTCCTTCAAAGCACTATAACTTTCTTTCATTACTTTGACCATAGTTTGTAAAGGGAAATGTTAGGACGCCTTTTGCTGTTGGTTTTTGTGCTCTTTTTTCAAAGCGTGACAGTGCACAGACTTTTGTTTAACTATGGTTCATGGTTTTAGCCAAACTGGTCACATCTGATAGAACAGAGCGAAAATTATTCTTATGACTATTTCTTCGAAATGCACAAAAACGTTGAAATATTGAAATATTTCATTTCATAATCTCATAGAGGGTGTTTGTATTTAGTCATTTTGCAATTTCCATCGTCCGTAAGAAAAAAAGTTGTGCACGGTCTTGACTGATTCAACCTCAAAATACATACAAAAGATATACAAAAGAAGTACAACAAAAGTTTTCAAACCATTCCCCTCTATTAACTATGCTTTAACCGGTGTATAGCTTTATCCACCTTTTGTACAACACCAGAAATACAAGAACTGGGTATTTCGTCAAGGAATTAAAATAAACATGAATGGCATTATATAACGGAGAAATAGACATTCTTCAGAATATTAAGCTAAAAACATACTTGTCATAATTTTTGTCCATAACTCGTCCAGCGACCTGCAATGAATAAGAAGAAACCTTGAAAAGAAACTTATAGATGTTTTGAATTCATTAGCTTTTTCACTGTTCAACTGTACGTAAATTCGAACTTCCTTACGCGCATGACAAGTTCTAGTACAACAAATTATGATGGATTTTGTAATATTCGCAATTTTGATGTCCACTAAAACAGTCCTCCAAAGCTTATTTTA